TAATTTTTTTGGTCGATAGATTATTTCTGTAAATATTAAAAAAAAAATCTAAAAACGAAAAAAATTCGATATTTTCATGGAATTGTAAATAAAGATGTCCAAGTCAAGTCCTGCATAACGAAAGCTCAGATTCGTTGGAAACTTCACCGAGTTAACAAAAACTCTGTTATGCTCGCAGAACTGCACAAAGTGAAACGGGGGACGATAATTCCAGCGAAAACCTCTCTCGGTCTCTCCCCTTATCGAGGAGAGTAGAAGATTACATGCGTGTACTGTACACCATACAAGCTAGTGGCGGTTAAAAAAATCGATTCGTTGGTATTATAATATATCTATCAGTGTTATAGTATGCTGACGGAGCGTGAGGCTCCTCACCGGGAGACCGCGCAGGCCCCCCTTTGCCGATTCGGCCGGGGGCGCTAAGTGAGATTCTTCGCCCTCGATCTGAGGAACGTCAGCGAGAGAGGAAATGCGCAAGACACGGGCGACGTAGACAGGTTCGGGCCGCTGAGAAGCGTAACACCCTACTCCTGTGTTCTGGTGGATCTGTGTGTGAAGGAATACAGAGAGGCCGAGAGCGAAAGAGAGTTCAGGCTCTAGAAACCCTTTGCCAGAGTCCCAACTCCCCTCCTTTCTTCTCTCCTCTTTCTTTTTTCCTAGGCCTGGGCCTCCTTTTTATCTGGTCAGGGGTCACCACATGGGCCTCTAGCTGCCTAAGAAGGGAAACATGCTTTTTACAATGAGGGCTAGTCTACAGCCGGAAGTGACCTCTGACAAGCAGAGCGCACGTCTCCTGCCCCGCTCGCCCGCTTTTCCGGTGGACGCCCATTTCAACCTTCATTTAATGGCCAGCGACTTCCTTGCCATACTTGCGTTGAAGCCTGGAATGGATCTGACCGGGACTGACATACCAACTCCAGGAGTTAGCACGCCGGCTCCGGCTAGGGACGAGAGCCAGGAAGCTCTCATCATTCCGACGGGACGGGGCGAGGCGTGTGACAGGCCGCCTGTTGCCACCTAACCCGCGATCTGACCGGTCTGTGACCGGTCACACACCGCGACCAGTCGCGGACCGGATAAGCGTGCGCTGCGCCGCATTAAATGCGGCGTGGCGCGCTCGTCCAATCCCGCTATAAATGCGGTTAGGTGAGCCCCGCTGTGCTCACCTAACCCACACGCGTGGCGCCAAAACCACAGGGGGTCGGGGCGCCCCAGCCCTCGGGGCCGAAACGGGAGCGGTTCGACCCCTCGGGGAGACAGAGGGAGGGGTGGCCACGTCATCCTCGGGTCCGACCCCCCCGAGGGGGTCAGGCCACGTGGGTGACCGCGGCTACCCAAGCCTCTAGTCACGATACCCTCGGCCCCATGTTACCGACATATGCTAATTATAATTAGATCATGATGTTATAATATATGGATAAACAATTTTGTTATAGGTTTTGCCGAAAATTATCGGTGTCGTGATACCGGTCCTTCTACTGTGATCCGCCCCTGATACAAGCATACATAGGTGAATCGAGGATTCCACGCGCGTGGCTGTGGGAGATGCTTTGACTATGCTCACCATGTCTTCTCTCGATACGGAGAAACCAGCAATTTTCCTGTGTCGGTGCATCTTTGGCTGTGTTTAGATCTAAAGTTTGGATCCAAACTTCAGTCCTTTTCCATCATATCAAACTGTCATACACATACAACTTTTCAGTCACATCATCTTCAATTTCAACCAAAATCTAAACTTTGCGCTGAACTAAACACAACATTTAACATTTATTGCGGACACTTAACATATCGAACTTATCGGGAAATTTGGTGAGTGGCGACTGATTCGGCCCGCATCAACTTCGACGGCGATGTTCTTTTTTCTTTTTCCTTCTTTACAAGGTTGGCAGCCCTGAAAAGTATTCGTGTCCTTGTGCTTTCGTCATTAACGTCTTCTTCCCCTAGGGGAGATGGTTTGTTCTGGTCAGGTCAACTTCCAAACCTAAAGGGAAGGGGCATAGCATATCACTAGTGTACTCGTATAACTGTAGTATTATCCAGCAATCTGTTGGTTTCAAGCTTCTAGTAAGAAACAGTAACAGAAAGGGGTTCAAATAGGATCATCGCCCGGAAAAGTCGTTGGTAACAAAAATCGTCCTAAAGATCATCACCACACAGCCAAATGCCAATACACTACACACTCCATAAAACTCTTTTGAGTTTCATAGCACTGCTGCATCTGACGCAGGAAATTTCGCTACATATGCTTCACTGCATCATGTAACATGCTGTCATGTTACCGGGACACCGGCGCACCTACCCTCCATACTCCATGACCCATGTTTCCTCGTCTTTGACAGTGCGAGCCTGCGTGATGTGCGAAGTGTAAACACTAGACTTTTGCCTCTGCACGGGGTGCTCCTAGTAAATTCCCGGTCGCCGTGGCGTGAAATCCGTGAGGATTCTGAGACACCAAGCAACGCTGCAAACGGCCTCCACCGAATCCGAAACTCCCCCAACAACCTAGGAATCAGAACCGGCAACGTCAGGTCGCACTTCCTATGCGCACTTGCAGCCGGCGCCCAGCAAAGGGGACGATGAGAAGACGAGATTTTCTTTCACGGTTCAAGCTTTCACAATTTTACTTGTTCACTTCTTCGTGATTTTACTTTGGTCGTATGGGAAGTGAGGCAACCATTGGCCGGATACTTGGGTGGAATTTACGAAACATTACTGTTTTCTCTTTTGTTTTCTGACGGAAGGCAGTAGTAGAGAGTTGGAGAATTATTATAGAACAGTGGTCGATACTGCTTAACTATGGAGTTTCATGATCTCACAATCTCAACTTTTCTTGTAACTACTTTGTTTGAGAGGCCGGAGTGCCGGACACATATCCTCTCAAGTCTCAACTAGGCTTAAGCAAGCTTTCATAAAACCGTTCAGGCTAAGCTATCAAGGTTTGCCATTTGCCAACTTGCTACTATACAATGTAAAAAACGAAAAACAAAATCTATTTGATCTCTTTAAAATATTGGGACGTCTAGTCAACCATCTCAGACTTTAAGGGTGGGAAATATTTTCTTGGGCCGTGTTTAGTTCACACCAAAACTCCCCCAAACTCTCAACTTTCCATCAAAACTTTCCTATTTACATAAACTCCTAACTTTTTTTTTCCAAACTACCAACTTTCCCCAAACTTCTCCTTAATTTCAGAAACTAAACACAGCCCTGATGTCACGTATAACAAGTTTTGATTCAAATGAAAGTTTTCTAATTAAGGCCTTGTTTAGTTCGCGGAAAGAAAATTTTTAGGTATCACATCGGATGTTTGACCGGATGTCGGAAGGGGTTTTCGGATACGAATGAAAAAACTAATTTCATAACTCGCCTGGAAACCACAAGACGAATCTTTTGAGCCTAATTAATCTATCATTAGCACATGTGGGCTACTGTAGCACTTATGGCTAATCATGGACTAATTAGGCTCAAAAGATTCGTCTCGCAATTTACATGCAAACTGTGCAATTAGTTTTTCATTTTATCTATATTTAATGATCTGTACATGTATCCAAATATTCGATGTGACGTTTTTGGGAAAAAAATTAGGAACTAAACAATGCCTAAATTCGCATGAGTCCGGGATAGTAGATTGTAAAAAAAAAACCCAAGGCTCATGAGTTACTCGAGCTCAATTTAAGCTCGCCTCGAGTTCTAGTTGAGTAGAGCTCGAGCCTATGCCAAAGCTCACGAGCTTTGTCAAGCTGAGCTCGAGCTCATGTCGAGTTTTACCGTTCATTTAATAAAGTAGTACATCATGTATGCCATATATCTGTATCCATGCGGTGAAGTATCTTGCGTTGGCACAATATATTTATCTTATTATTTTTCATCAATCATTAGCATGATTAAATATAAATAAATTATTTATTTCAAGAGATTATCCTTGAAATATACTATGTTGCGCTACTTATAAGCCGACTTTGTAGGAAAGCTCAAGCTTGAACCGAGCATGTCTAAAAACTCGAAGGTTACTCGGGCTCGGTTTGAGCTTGAGCCTAGATAGGTAAGCTTGCTCGAGCTCGACCCGTTGTCAGCCCAAGTTACAAGCATACCCTTACACCCAAATCCATAACATGACTTTCACTGAAGCAATGATATGCGCGTATCAATCCGACAAACACCAAAGACAACACACAAAGGGCCCGTTTCGTAGAGCTTTTAACTTCTATTAACTCTAGGAGTTGGGGTTTGGAGCGGAGTTGTGGAGCAGCCTAAACTTAGTTCCACATCTCTAAATCATTTTGTGAGAGTGCTCCACCCAGCTATATTCCCATTTTAGGTGGAGTTGAAATTGTTCGGCTAAGCTCCAGCTCCAGAATAGGTGAAGCTGGAGCTGAAGCCGTGCCAAACTAGCCCAAAACCACAACGTCGCACACCAACTTTCGTGAGAGTTTTGCAGGAAAATAGTACTACCTTCGTTTTTTTAATATGCAACACTATTGATTTTGAACACGCATTTAACAATTTATCTTATTGATGAAATATGAGAAAAATACGTAATTATCATTTGTTTTATCGCTAGAAGTACTTTAGACATGATTTATATAGCTTTTGCTTAATTTTTTGAATAAAATGAATGATCAAACGTGTTTAAAAATTAACGGTGTAATCAACGCTTCTCCTTTTTACCCTAAAAAAGTATCTCTTTTTCACGATTTCAACCGTCAGAAATGCGAAACCCACAGATTTGCGGGTGCCTTCGGCAAGAAGGCGTTTCTCCTCCCGCACGGGCCCGTGTGCAGCCCGCACCCGAGATTGGGCGGCCCGCTCCCACCCCCGTCCGTCCGTCCGTCGGAAGCCCAAGCCAACCGCCTCGCGACTCCACCGCGTCTCTGCACATGCCCAGCCCCCACCACGAAATTACCCACCCCCCATCGCGAGAGAAAAAAACTACTAAAAAAATATCGCGCATAATCCCAATTCGACTCCGACTCGGCCATTCCGTCCCCAAACCCACGCCGACTCGCTCCGCTTTTTTAAATCCCCCAACCCGGAACGAATTTTTCCCCTTCGTTTCCACCACCACCCCCCACCACCACGACGCGGATGGCATCTTCGTCGTCTTCGTCCTAGCGCGCGGCGGCCGCCACGCGACCCTGTTTGAGAGGGGGAAAGGGGGGTTCCGCTCGGCTAGGCGGAGGAAGGACGCAGCCGCCCCTGTCCCGCGGCGAATTTGGATGATCGAGGCCCGCCGTCGAGGGTAAGGAGTGATGGAGGAAGCGGCGGCGGCGGCGGCGGATTTCGATGGCGGCTTCGGCGGCGCCGGGGAGGACAACCTGTCCATGCCCCTCGGCGACTTCATGGCCTTCCTCGATAACGAGGACTGGAAGGAGCAGCAGCACGAGGTGCGTTACTACTCGCCGCCTTGCCCTAATTCGATTTACGCCCGGGTGTATTTTTTTTTCTTCTGTGTGCGTCGGATCCGATTCGGTGCGCGGGGTTGTTGGGGGGCTGGGCTTGCGTCTGTTCTAGGGTTTTTGATTGCATCGGGGCCGGATGCGTGGATTTCTCGAGAAGTTTCTGCCTTCAATTAAGCGATTTAGGATGTTTGGAGGCTAGGCACTGTGTTTTCCCCCACGAGTGTTGTGTCTTGTTTAGGCGCGAATGATACAAGCGTGATCAAGCTTACATGCGGTTTTGGTCCGGCTACTCAGTTTGAACAGGTATTTTTTTTGTTGTTGTTTCGGATAAGTGGAGCTCTGGGTGCCTGAAGAAGAGCTAAAATCAAGTCCGTTATGCAGTTTCATTAAATGTTGGTTGGTCAATGACAATAATCTGACGACAGATCTTCAACAATCATCGGTCGCTGAAATGACGCTTGATGTACAGAGGCTCGGTTGCTGGTTTATTGGGTCTCATGTTTGATTCACTGCCCTTGCCGTGGTTTATACTATGAGAAAGTGTGTTGATGATGGCGGCTGGAAGCGAGTTTACTGGCAGTCGTGGCGTTGGGGGTTGTGATGTGGTACATGTATGCTGTTTTCAGTGGCGATGGGCTATAAATGGCCATCAGGCTGTTGGGATTGGAGAAGGTCAAACAGGAAGCAGCTTGGTAGTGAGTTGGAAGTGTGTTTGCTGCCAAATGGATACAATGATATGTGGGCTTTTCGTGTTGTCTTTTCTGCTCTCACTGAACTTCAGGCCCCTGTACACATGTTCTGTATGTTTACCGGTGGGCATAGATATACATCATGCAGCTATGAGGTATCCTTATGGCCTGTTAAGAACACAGGAGTTCAGTATATTTTTCACTTGAAACAGTTCGATTTCCTCATGAATTGGAAAAATTCTAGTGTTGCAAACGGCCACCTTTTCCCCTGAATCCTAACACATGTATTTTAGCAGTAGAAAATATTGAATTTGTTGTGAGCATGCAGATAGCTAATAGTCTGACCTCACAATATTTATTATGATGGTCGATCCTGGTAAATGCTTTGTTTTTATGTGTGCTTGAATGCTTTTAGTTTTGCATTTGCTATGCCTCATTACTAAAGAGATGAATCGTAAAACTGAAGTCATTTCATTAATGAAATGGGAGAGTAGATCCTTTCTTTCTCAAACAAAGAAAACTAAAGAGATGAATCAAACTGATTTTATTTACTGTGTTGTGATTGTTGTGACCTTGAATACTTTGGGTGAGTGCTGGGGAAATATAAAATTTCTTGCCGCGTTCAGTTCTGTGGCAAAATAATTGGCTGATACCATACCAAGTGAAATTGAATCTTCATTTTTTGTGCTTTGTTTGAGGAAGTGTTTTTTTGGGAGGTTTTGTCTTTTAATTGTATTTTCAAGTTGTTGGTTGCTAGGTCTTGTATTTACCAACCTTGGGTAGTAATGTACTCCCTCCGTTCCAAATTAGATGTCGTTTTGACTTTTTGCTTGCAACTTTTGACCATTTCGTCTTATTTAAAACATTAGTGCAAATATAGGAAAGGATAAGTCATATATTTAAAGTACTTTTGATAACAAAGCAAGTCACAAACAAAATAAATAATAATTCCATATTCTTTTGAATAGATGAATGGTCAAGCATTACAAACAAAAACTCAAAACGACAAGTATTTTGGGACGGAGGTAGTACTTGTTATGCTCGGAATTTGTCATATGGTTTGTGGTCAGTAACCAGTAAAACTCTACATTTAGTTCCAGCATATGCCATCATAGGCTGTTAACTATGTGTGGCTAACTGGATATGTTCATAGATGTCCAAGTTTCCTTGAGTACAATAACTGGGATTGCATTTTTTTTCGTGTAGCTGATGCTAATTCTTGTGTTTATTGTAAGATAAGTCAGTTCCTTGCCAGGAATATCTACCTACTTAGCTTTGTTGCATCTATATATCATGCCCCTTGTTTAGTCTATTATCTTGTGTTCCCTTGACAAATGTGCATATTTGTAACTAAAGAGCTATTATGTTGTTTAATACAGGGCAATCAAGGTTTAGAGATGCCAGTGGACAGCACAAGTTCTGAAAATGCATTTCAAAACCATGAAGGTACCAGAAGATGCTCGTTTTATTTTGGTTTCTGCTAGATACACACTTTTCTTTTCCGTGTCCATTTTTTTAATTTTTAAATTTTATTAAAATGAGCAGAAATTTTTGAGAATAAAGAAAATTGGTCAAACTACTCGCATACAGATCCTTCACATAGTCAGATGGATGTAATGGTGGAACTTAACAATGGTGGAGAATCTTTTGATCACTCAGAGGATACCTCTTATAGATTGCTTAGCAATGGTGAGAAACACAAGAAAGGCTTCAATCTGGAAAAAAAACATTTTTATTTTATTATGTATTATATGATTTTAATTTTGGTTTTGCTCCACAGATTTTTTGGAAAATTCAAGGAATGGTAATCCTGAGATGCATTTACCAATGGATGCATTAAACCATGCTAAAACTGTTGATGAAGAAATTGTCCCTCCATATGAAGATTATACAAATGGTTTATACTATGGTCAGCATTCTATGCACTCCGACAATACACAAGTTAGAGTAGATAACAACTTTGAGGGCTTGGAGCCACACACTAATACTTGTATGGCGGTTCCCTGCTTTGTAATATACACATACGTGTGTGCTTTCTTAGCGTTGTAATATAAAGAAGGCACTAATTATTTGATATCTCCTGCAGATTCGGGATGTGATATGTTCGCAGAGCAATCTGGTTTAAGTGAAGTTAAATGTGAGGGCACAGGTCCCATGCTTGGTAATTCTGAGCAGGAGGGTAACCATTTCACGTCAGTGCCTATGTTTGACCATAGTGCTGTTATACCTGATATTCCTTACACCGAGTTGAACATCGGTGATGTGCCTGGAAGCATGCAGAATGGAAATGGCAGTTGCCTAACTGTACAAGGAGAATATCTGCAGGGGGAGTATCAGGAGTATCCTCAGCCAGATTATGGATCGTTTGATATGGCTAATGAAATAGTGCTGCATGATTTGCCACAAAACAATCAGTCATATGAGCTGGAACAATTACCACAGAATATATGTGAAAGCAGTTCAATGCAAGTGGGCTCTCCAGATCAATATTGTGATGATACATCTCTGTCGGATTATTACATGGATGATGTATCTTCGATAGAGTCGATGTCCAGCGAGCAGAACCGATCAGAAGATATCTGTTTCCGGAGTGAGTCTAGCACTGACTCTTCTCCGGTGCCCTCAAGCAGAAACTCCACCACTGAGGATGCTGATAAATACTTTGGAGATGCACCAAAACATTTGCAGAATTCCATGTTTCCTGTCAGTACCCAACACCAACACTCATTCATGAACTCAAGTGATCCAATGCATCCAACTTTTCATAAAAAGTATGACATTCCTAGAAATGGCAGCTCTTCTATTCTGGGTAACTCATCAAGGAATTGCTTCAGTTTAGATAGCAATCGTGATTCTGATTTATGTATTCTTGAGGGTAGTAGAAGTCTTGCTAGTGGACATGTGTTGCCACCCCAAGGATTGCAGCATAACTTTCAACAATCTGTGTGTGCCAATCCTAATCTTCCTCGGTTTGGAGGGAGATACAGGCCGCATGAGGAAAGAATGACTTTGCGGCTTGCATTACAGGTAATTTACCCTTTTTACTCTTGGCGGCACTTGCTCATTGAAGTACCATAAACAAACAAGGTGGTTTTTTTTAAACCTTTTTTAGTCCCTTTTTTTGCCTAACCCAAAGGAACAGGCAACTAAACTGCTTGAGGTTTGATTTGTTATCATGTTTCTGGTCACTAAAACAGAGGAGAATGTATGATTTTCTTATGAAGATATTTGCCTTATATATTTTCTGTAGTTGTCTTGCAAACAGAAGACCATTTTGTGTTAACTAGCAAAATGTCCATGCTTTTCTATGGGTAAAATTCCCATTCTTTGCTTTTCCAATGCTTATTACAATATATGTTATTCACTTAAATCAAACAAATATTAAATTATTGCATATATCAGAAAATATCAGGGAATAATTTGTAAAACATGCAAAATTAGTAGTGGTGGGCTGCGGCAGAACCACCTCCACCACTAGAGTATAGATAACTGCTGGTGCTTATGTTTTCAACCTTTTCTGCACTGTGATGCTGTTAAACATTGATTTTTGACCTTTTGTCTGCATTGGATATAACTGGTGACTTTGTGAATGTTATTTCATGTGATATATATGTGGCATTTAGTTCCCTTTTTTTGTTAGCCTTGTGTTATGCTGTATGTGTTGATACTTTTTTAGCCATTACTTGATGCACCTCTTGCATCCAGTTTGCTTGTAAGTTTTTCTTCAATGTACTTAACCAATTGGATGATGGGCAGGATATTTCTCAGCCAAAGTCTGAGGCTAATCCACCTGATGGAGTTTTAGCAGTTCCTTTATTGAGGCACCAGGTACACTTTGAAACCAAAGCTGTTACTCCCTAAGAAATAGTACTTCAGCCAACTTCTGATTTCGATATATCTTTTTGTCAGAAAATTGCCTTGTCATGGATGGTACAAAAGGAGAGAAATGGTTCGAGTTGCTCTGGCGGAATTCTTGCAGATGATCAGGTATGCTAGTTTACCTCACTCCACAGTCCACACCCAAGCCCACATGCAGGATTGAGCCAAAAGGGCAACTGTCCTAATTTATGATCTGATATTTTTCAGGGCCTGGGTAAAACAGTGTCGACTATATCACTGATTTTGACAGAAAGGTCACCAGTTCCATCTTCAGCTGTTAAGCAAGAACCATGCGAAGCTGTAACCCTTGACGATGACGATGAGGATGACGATGCTGAGCCTCATTTGAAGAAACCGGCACTAGCACATCTAGCAGATACATGTAAACCTGAAGCGACAAGTAGTACCATTAAGACAGAAAATCCTATTGCAAATGTTAAGGCTAGACCAGCTGCTGGGACTTTGGTTGTTTGCCCCACGAGTGTTCTACGTCAGTGGGCAGATGAACTGAGGAATAAAGTCACCAGTAAAGCTAACTTGACCTTTTTAGTATATCATGGTAGCAACCGCACAAAGGATCCTAATGATCTTACTAAATACGATGTCGTGTTAACCACATATTCTATAGTAAGCATGGAAGTACCAAAACAATCAAGTCCTGATAGTGATGATGAAGAGAAAGGGAAGCCTGACAGGTATGGTGCTCCTGTTGGCTCCTCAGGCAGCAAAAAACGGAAGACTTCCTCTTCTAAGAAGAACAAAAGTGGAAGCACACCAGAGAGTAAATTGCCTGAGAAACCTCTCGCAAAAGTTGCATGGTTTAGAGTTATCCTTGATGAAGCACAAAGTATTAAAAATTATCGAACCCAGGTTGCTAGGGCATGCTGGGGTCTGCGAGCCAAAAGAAGATGGTGCTTGTCAGGGACACCTATACAGAATGCTGTTGAGGATCTCTATAGCTATTTCAGATTTCTCAGATATGATCCATATGCTGAATACAAAAAATTTTGCTTCATGATAAAAACACCAATCAGCAGGAACCCAATTACTGGGTACAAGAAGCTTCAGGTTGTTCTGAAGACAGTAATGCTGAGGAGGACAAAAGGTCAGTAATTGATTATATTTTCTTGTTGTCCATCTCCTGCATGTACATATCTATGAACTCAAGTAATTGTTGAGTTCTGATTGTGCTTAAACTACAAGACCTGATAGATTCTTTTTTTTTTTTGCTTGGCTAGAATTTCCAGAAATAATTTTTGTTTCACCAATTTGGAGTTACTTCGTTCTTTTGTTAAGTTAAATGTATAAATGTATCTATGCCCAAATAGCATGCCAGAGAGTTTGCTAATGTCTTACGTAGCCTGTTGAAAAGTGCCTTCTTATGGCTGTCTTTAGATCAAGTTCAGCCAAAAAAAGAAGAAATTTCTAGCTTATCCAAGACTAAGGTATAGAACTTTGAGTTGTATTTGATTATTGGTGTCCTCTAAACTTTCATATGTTCTAGCGGTCTCAGTGCTAACTTCTGGTAGTCCTATTAATATAAATTTCACATACAATGCTTAATATACATAAGCACAGCTTGATGTTAATCAGGACTGAACTGGCAAGTACAGCCACTTTAAAAATATCTATCTTTGCTTGCTCTAATGATAGCCTTGGTTGATAATATGGAGGTATAATTGTGATTCAACAGTTTGGCACCCTTCAACTCCCAACACACCGACGTGTACAGGGGTACTTTTAAATGATATTCATTGACGGAACATAGTTTATTTAGTCTCCTTCCTTTTCTCCACCTACTGTGCTTAACTGCCCCTCTGTTAATACACAATAATTGGTGCCAAAATATTTATCTGCTTGTCATGTAGACTGTAGAGGGGTACTTTTAAATGATATTCATTGATGGAACATAGTTTATTTAGTCTCCTTCCTTTTCTCCACCTACTGTGCTTAACTGCCCCTCTGTTAATACACAATAATTGGTGCCAAAATATTTATCTGCTCATCGTATTATGTTGTTATTATCTCTTATGACCTGTTGTATTGCAGCAACGATGCTTGATGGAAAACCAATAATCTCATTACCCCCAAAGACCGTCTCTCTTAAGACAGTGGACTTCACTAGTGAAGAGCGTGCTTTCTATAACACTCTCGAAGCAGAATCACGAGAGCAGTTCAAGGTGTGTTTAGAATGTTAATTAATAGTCTCCTTTATGAGACCTTCTATTTCTTTTTTAAATATGCTGCTGCCTTTTTCATTTGTCAATGGTTTATTAAATATTTTTACTTGACAACTACCTTAGCTAATAATTAGGAGCACATTGTGTAAGAAGTAGAGTGTTTACTTTCACCATATTATGCAACCTACGGACTACAGATACAGAACCCTACATACCTTGTATAAGAAGTAGAGTGTTACTTTGAATTAATGAATCATCCTACTAAAAGAAAGCTCTTCTAAGTTCTAACATACATGGTATTTAGACATTGAACTTATTCCATTCATGATTAAACCAAACCTAATAATGCTAATATTTAAATCACTTGATATTAAGTGCTTGCTTATGCTTTTCATTAATGAACTTTTAGGAGGCTAACTATGCTTCCTTGTGCAAATAAACAATCTAATTGCAGGAGTATGCAGCTGCTGGTACTGTCAAGCAAAACTACGTCAATATCCTGCTGATGCTTTTACGGCTCAGACAGGCATGTGATCACCCTCACTTAGTTCGAGGTCATGAGTCTACTTCTAGTTGGATGTCTTCATTGGAGATGGCAAAGAAGCTGCCTGTAGAAAGGCAGCAATCGTTGCTGGTTTGCTTGCAATCGTGTTCTGCGATATGTGCTCTCTGCAATGTAAGTGATAAAAGTGAATGTGCTGCCTTTTTAAACCACACCTAATATGATATCGTTTCTACCTTCATTCTTTGCTCTAACCCATGTTTTGTGTTATTGTTGCACTGTACTTTGATATTATCTATCCAGCTGTGGTGTGGATTGTGGATTGATTATTTTCAAAGTTGGAATGCATTTTTTGAGTTTTCTCAGTAGCACATAGACTGCCTTAGGTTACTATCAGAACATGAGATTCTTATAATAGGATTTATAAGTGCATTGCTGGGGATTGATCGTGAGCTTCCTTTCCTGGATGCTTATACAATTTCTAAATCCATAGCTAAGTACCAAATTATATCTTGTGGTTAGCATACAACATGATATTATGTTTGCATGGCTATCAGCGGCTTGATTTTAGTGAAGAAATAATTCTTTGTTGTTCATGCATACCATTTTCCTAGCATCCACTTCTGATTCATTGATCCGTACACCATAAATTGTGCAGGATGCGCCAGAAGATGCCGTTGTTACTATATGTGGTCATGTTTTCTGCAACCAGTGCATACTGGAGCAACTTACCGGTGATGACAGTGTATGTCCAGTGTCCAATTGCCGAGTCCGACTAAATTCAACTTCCTTATTCTCCCGAGGCACCCTTGAATGTGCTCTGAGTAGATCAACCTGTGAGTTTCTGTCTGATGATTCCTGTGAAGACATGGTGCAAGGGAAGCAACCTAGATTTGATTCGTCTTATGCATCTTCCAAAGTGAGAGCTGCCCTGGATATTCTTCTCTCGTTGCCTAAACTGGATTTAACCCATATGAGTGATGACAAAAATAAAATTGTGCATCCTGACAAAATTAACGGGAATAGTACTCCCTCTGAATATGCTGGCACCAAAATAACTGAGAAGGCCATCGTTTTCTCTCAATGGACTAGAATGCTGGATTTGGTAGAGGTTCATTTGAAATCTTCTCATCTATCTTATCGGAGGCTTGATGGAACAATGTCCGTCGCAGCTCGGGATAGAGCTGTAAAAGACTTCAACACAAATCCAGAGGTTTGTATTCAATGAAATATTGGCATATGTAACTGTTGAAGGGAAGTTCTTTATTGACTTGCTCTGTTGACAGGTTTCTGTTATGATTATGTCTCTCAAAGCTGCAAGTCTTGGTCTGAATATGGTGGCGGCCTGTCATGTACTTTTGCTTGATCTTTGGTGGAATCCTACTACAGAAGACCAAGCTGTTGACAGAGCGCATCGTATTGGCCAAACTCGACCTGTCACAGTGTCACGGTTAACCATAAAAGATACCGTTGAAGATCGTATTTTGGCTCTCCAGGTAAACCTAAAACTGTAAGCTTTTCTTTTGATTGCAAATCATTCTTGTAGCCTGGAAGATAATATCCATACTGCGGAAACTGTCATTACCATGTTGATATCGAACTAGAGGCTGGTTTTCCTTCGTCGAATGTTGGGAAAACTATGTGAATGTTGAAGCAAGTTTGTTTTTTTTCCTTGGCCTTCATTAGACAGTAACATTTTCATCCTGTCTACCTGTTCTTTTTTCTTCAAGTAATATCCTATCGACAATGGCTTATGGCATGTGGAACAGTATATATCCCATCTTTGTATTCACCTTAATCCACTTGGACCACCCATGATACATCTAGAATTGCTACAAAACTCTCATCCAGCACTGCTTGAGTTAACTAACATGTTATTGTTGACGTGAGTCCTGAGATCGCACCCTTGTGTGAAATCCAATTTTAGAGCTAATCTTAGACCCTTCCAACTACACTTTTCTTCAGTATTTACTCTTTTCTATCGTCTCATGTTGCCCTACTAATCTGTTGTGTCTGTCTCAGGAGAAAAAACGGGAGATGGTGGCTTCTGCATTTGGGGAAGACAAATCTGGTGCCCATCAAACTAGATTGACGGTGGAAGACTTGAACTATTTGTTTATGGTTTAGCATTTCTCCTGAGATTGGACACAATTTTGCTCGTGGGATGGTGTAACTTGCATCTATAGGTGAAATATCTGTCAGGAGATAGCATTTCTCTAGGCGTCTAGTGTTTCTAGTTTGTACAGGTGCTCAGATTTTGTAGTTAAAGGTGGCATTGTGGTGCGATTCATTTTTTCTCCGTGCAAGTGGCAACTCATCAGGTAATTTTTCGATGAGCTGCAGTGGTGTCTTTTGATCATGAAGATACAAAGGAGAACGTCATTAGCTAACGCCATATTTGTACATAGTTTTCACCAGCAATCTTAACTCATCTTGAGCTTCGCATTTCAGCCGTATGGTTGTACATCATAAACCATGTAAAAGATTAAGCTGAACTTGTCTTCGACAATTTTTTTCAGTTGATCAAACATGATAGTTTATGGGGAATGAAATTTGCTCAAAAGTTCTAATGAATGTGTGGCATAGCTCATCACTGATGTGTGTATGTAGGCCAAGACGTGTGCATTCTTTTGTTCTTTCAAGTCCCTAGTCATCCTTGTACAGTTTATTTTAGGGGGAAGGGGGGATGTTGGTGGTGAGGGTTGAGATGAGGAAGTCGGTGAAGTTATATTTTGAGATTAATTTTGAGTATTTACAGGTGGAACTTTAAAGTAAGTATGGTTCCTGCGCTGCATAAAGCTCAGTTGGCTTCCTACACTGTTTGGGGGCAACAAAAGTGATGATTTGGCAAAATGGCTCACGGACACTTTGGCTGTGTCCAGTTCCTTTTAAATTTTCAACTTTTCCGTCACATCAAATGTTTAAACATATGTATAGAACATTAAATGTGAATGAAAAAAAAAATCAATTGCACATTTTGCATGTAAATTGCGAGATGAATCTTTTGAGCCTAATTACGTTATGATTTGACAATGTGGTGCTACAGTAAACATTTGCTAATGACAGATTAATTAGGTTTAATATATTCGTCTCGCAGTTTACATGCGGAATCTATAATTTGTTTTGTTATTAGTCTATATTTAATACTTCAAATATATGTCCGTATGGATCAAATTCTTTTTACCAAAACAACTTACGGCCTTTGTAACTGCAGTCCGATGGAATAAGAAACAACCGCTCGTTTTTGTTGCGTGATAAGGTTGTAACTTGTAAGGGCTGCAGCCGCTGACTATTCTCGCAGCGCATAATTGCGTATCAGAGCTCCAGATGACTTAGCACAAGAGCACAATGCATTTCTCGCTATCCCCAACTTTGAATCAACGATTTTTTTACTTCTCCCATCTCACAATATAGCAACCTAATATTTAGGATAAAACATATTGTACTGTTTAAATTTATGTTTAAATTTATATTATTAGGATACGTCCCATCGCTATATCGTGGGATGGGAGTACATTTTGATCATGCACATGTCAAAGTGTCAAAAACTACACCATACAATCTGCCACTTCTGTATGCCGTGAAGCTAAGCCTGAAAAATCAGACACAAAAAGGGAAAAAAAAAAGAGAAAACCTTTTGGCATAGCTACAGTTGATGAATTGAGCCCCAAAAAAATCTTGCTCATGGATCGAGAAGCCTATCATTGATCCCCGATCCTCCTCCGGCATTGGACCCAGACGATCCACACTCACTGACGCCTGGGCCATCGGTGCTCGACGTGCCTTCGACGGACACCGGAGCGACCAAGTCCGGCGGCGGGAAGTACGACGGCACCGGCATCTTGGGCGGCAGCGACGGCAGCGGCGCCTCGAACTTGAGCACGTTCAGCGCCTGCCTGATGCTCGGCCGGTGCGCGTGGTCGGGGTGCGCGCACCACAATCCTACCACCATGAGCCGCTCCATCTGCTCGAGGTCGAACTTGCCATTGAGCCTCTGGTCCGCGGCTTCGAGGATGGCTCTCTTGCCGTAGAGCTCCCACACCCACGGCACCAGCCTCGCCTTGCTCGGGTCCTCCTCGTCGAGCTCCGCGGGGCGGCGGCCGCACGCGATCTCCAGCGCCACGACGCCGAAGCTGTACACGTCCGACTCCCGGCTGGCCCTGCCCGTGATGACGCACTCCGGCGCCAGGTAGCCCAGCGTGCCGGCCAGCACGGTGGTGTGCGGCTGGCTGCCGTGCTCGACGAGCTTGGCGAGGCCGAAGTCGCCGAGCTTGGCGCTGAAGGTGGCGTCGAGCATGACGTTGCTCGGCTTGATGTCGCGGTGCACCACGCACTGCGGGCACTCCTCGTGGAGGTAGAGCAGCGCCGACGCGAGGCCCAGCGCGACGTTGTACCGCGTCGGCCAGGAGAGGGGCGGCGCCGCGCCGCCGGCCTTCTTGCTGCCGCCGCCGCCGCCGTAGAGGTGGCGGTCGACGCTGCCGTTGGGCATGAGCTCGTACACCAGCAGGAAGTCGCCGCGGTGCTCGTGGCACCAGCCGACGAGGCGGACGAGGTGGCGGTGGCGCAGCTGGCTGATGATGCGCACCTCCGCCGCGTACTCCTTGCGCCCCTGCGTCGAGCCCTTGGACACCCTCTTGATCGCCACCGCCAAACCGAGCTCCTTCAAGAAGCCCCTGTACACGGCGCCGAAGCCGCCCTGCCCGAGCTTCCTCTCGTCGGAGAAATTCTTGGTCGCCGCCGCAAGGTCGCTGTACCGGAACCGCCTCGGCCCGCTCTCCACGAAGAACTCCTCGTCGGCGAGCTCGTCGTACCCCATCTCCTCGTCGATGTCGCCATCGGCGAGCTCTCCGGCTTTCCTCCATTGCGACACGAACCAGAGCACGCCAGCGGCGACGAGCACGAGAAGCAAACCGCAGAGCCCCAACACAACCCACAGGATTACCGTCTCCTCCTTGGTGTCGATGCTGGAGGTGAACTCCCAGTACAGCACCTGGTGCAGCTCGGCGGCCTCGCCCGTGGCGGCGGAGAAGCCGACGGCGACGGCGTCGGGGAGGTACTCCATCAGATCGACGGCGTACCAGAGCACGGGGTCCGTCAGGGCCGCCGCCGCCGCCGCGTCGCCGTAGGAGAGCGCGACGGTGAGGTTCTTGGCCTGGCCGTCGTACGCGACGCGCGCGTGCGCCCTCCGGCCGTCCTTCATGCTGGTGGGCCAGTCGACGGTGGCGGCGGAGACAATCCCGCCGAGGTCAACGCCGACGTGGTCGTCGCTGGGGTCCCACTCGTTCTTGTAGGTGTCGAATTCGACGGCGACGAGCGGGCGCGGGTGCGCCGCCGCTGCGCCCCCGCGTGAGAAGGAGTTGAAGAGGCCGAGGAGGCCGCCGGCGGAGCTGTTGGGGAGGACGGAGGGGAAGGGGGAGAGGAAGAAGGCGAGGCCATCGCCGGAGGCGGCGGAGGGGTCGGGGGCGGCGATGGAGAAGGAGAAGGCGGTGGAGAAGGAGGCGCGGCGGCGGGAGACGGGGTCGCAGAGCGGGACGGGGCGCGAGAAGAAGGCCCTCCCGGCGCTGCTGGTGATGGGGCCGATGCGCTCGTCGCGGGTAAGGCGGATGAACTTGTTGAAGAAGGCGTCGCCCTGGAACGCGATGCCCGACGGCGCCGTGTCCGCCGAGGTGAAGTTGTAGGTGAAGGAGAAGGCCGCGGCGGGGGACGGCAGCAGCAGCAGCAGGGCGACGAGGAGAAGGAAGGGGGCGGCGGCGGCGGCGGCGGAGATCCCCATGGCGGAGAAGCTCGGGTTCTCCTGCCCCAGGCCAGGCGAGCCTTGGAAAAGAGATACAAAAGCTTACTACATTTGGGTTGACCACCAACGAGAAGGCTCGAGCTGGCCAGCTGGTATCTGCTTGGTTGTGTCGTACTGTACCGTTCTTCTATACGTGACTACGTGCTGTGCATACTGCCCGCATTTGCAGCTGCCAAGTTACTGTCATGTATGTGTGCGTGCCTTGTGTTGGAATGTTGGATGAGGGCAGGATGCGAGCAGAGAATCGATTTCGAGAGCGTTGTCTCCCAACTCCGCAGGGATGGGAACACTGGACGCGCGGGGCGCCGCGGTGGCAGTAGCGAGAGAGTGGGAGACGGCGACATGAATCATGATGCATCCAGCGTTCACAATTCCAACAAAAACTGGTCGAATTCTGTGAAATTTCGACGTTTTGGCATGACTCAAAATTAAGTTCTGATTAGAATTTCGAAGGTTAAACAGTAGATTTGGTCGAAATTTATCGAAAACCGTGATACGATATAGCTCGAAATTTAGTGGTCAACCGGTAATGTAAACCCTGGATGCATCTCTACGAGGCGACGAGCCGACGACGGCCAAACAACTACCATTTGGAGTCTTCCCTGAGGAATACAAAGAAGCCTACTCCCTCTGTCCTGGAAAGCCAGCCTTTTTAAGATTGGTTGGACAAATTAACAGAAAGTAAAATTTACTATATTGGCCATATTTAATAGTTGCATTTGTCACATTAGATTGTAAAAAAAAAATACAACAAGTAATTAAGTAATCACTACTAGTAGTATTGAAGATCTATTTAATACTCCCACCATCCCAAAATAAGTACAGTTCTACACATCTCATATCTAACGTTTACCTTCCGAACCATTGTCACCTCCCCTCTTTTATCGGATGGGTTGAGGAGATTCACATCAAAACAAAGCTTCAGCCACGCTAGGTCTGGTGGTGGATTCTATCTGCGCTCCATCTTCCCAACTGCTTCCCGGTTGCGGATGACCATTTCCCAGCCTGGTGGCTCCACACTAGAAGCCTAATCCCTGCAGCAAGAAGATGCTTCGACACAATTGTTATCCTAGTAGCCTAGGTGATCTAGAAGGAACAAAACAACCGGGTCATCAACAATCAACCCTTTCCTTAGTTGATCGTCTTCGATAAGATTGCAAAAGAAGCTGCTCTTCGGTGCACGGTCAGGAGAGCCAACGCCTAGACCAACGTATAGCAATGGTAGTCTTTTTTCATGAGATTTCCCCTAGTATTTTTTTCCTAAGGCTGCTTTGTCGCCGGGACGACATGTACTAAAAACTTCTTTCTTAATACACAACAATGTGCAATTCTCTAGTGTATTAGCTATAAATTAACGAATGATTATAGGGATATGGACCATACTACCATAGTGCCAAGATGCACTAGCTAGGGTATAGAAGCTTGGAACAGTAGATGCCAGGTAAGCCGGACGCTCAAAGCAATCCGTTAGCGTTCAGGCACAGCATTCTCCTGGACGAGGGTAATACAAGACCAGAAGTGGCCGCCGCAAAGAAGTCTCCGGACGAAGGATATCCTTGTCCTGACCCGCCGCGCACTCCAATTCTAACCGGCTGCCTGGAGTGCACCGAAAGGAAGCTATAAAACCAAATCAAACCCCATCCACCCGCGGAAGCATGCGCGCCAACGCACTCCCCACGCGATCCCACAGCCCTCCGCTTCCTCTCCCCTTTCGCCTATTCATCGGTAAACCAACGCGCCGTCGCCCACAGATATTCCCCCGCCCTTTTTCTCTTTAACCTCTCGCAGCCAGCCAGCCACCATCCGAAAACACCAGAACCCGATTCCATCCCGGTTGCTGTTCTTATAATACGTGGAGAAGAAACTAGACTAGCTTCTTCGCCGTGAGGGCTTTGGTGCCGGAGCATGTGCCATCCTGGGCTGCCGCCTCTGCCGCCGGGGTGCGAGGTCAAGCGGCGGAGGGCGCCGCCGGTGGCGCGAGTGGGTTCCCCGCCGCCCGTGCCGCGGCGGGAGCAGCCTCATCAGGCTCAGCCGCACCACTACTGCGTGTGCTCGCCCACGGCGCACCGCGGGTCGTTCCGCTGTCGCTGGCACCGCCGCGGCTACTACGAGTGGGGCGCCTCCCGCCGCAGGTAGGGCAAAGCCCGTTCGGTGGGTGACGCGTGCGCGCATGGTGGAAACTGCTCGACGCATCGCCGGCCAGCTGCGTACAACTCATGGCGTCTTCTTGCGCATCATGTTCGGTTGCTCATGTGTTTGTACACAGACACACAGTGTACAGTTGTTCGAACTCGGAAGGAAACACAAAACAATTAAATAAGCGTACATTACTCTATAGTTTCTTTCATCCGGAAGTGCGTCATTAGTGGATTATAATTCATACCAGAAGAATAGCAAATCGTGTATAAGACTACAAGAGCGTCTGAGAGTGTAACGAATTCTAGCTGACTAGCTGTCAGTCCATTGTGATCCGGCCTGGCCCTCCCTTCAGTGAGCGGTACAGAGGCCTGGATCGCTTGAAGCCGAATATGTCAGTGATTCGGTAAGTTTTGGGTGCATCAGCTTCGGCAATAGCCTTCTTGAATTCTGCCAAATGTTTGCCGCCGAAGACTTGTACGCTTAATGTCTTCCGTTGAGGTGCACCAATTCTTATGTACTGATCAAAAAATTCGATGAATTCTTCTTTCTTGAGCTCTCTTAGGAGAGATACCTGCAAAAGAGGTATATCGCACAACTCTTTTCTTTTCTTTGAGAAGTTATCCTGTGCTTAATAACCTGTTTTCATTATATTCGATACCATCAAACAATTAACTATTTGCTGAAAACAGAGCACTTACCTCAGACCTTCCTCTATCAAACTGGAGAGTTCCTGCCTCAATCTCTGCCCAATAGAAGTCGGATTCCTCCCACAAATTTTTGGACTTCTCCAGTTTCGAATCAATAAGTGATTTTACATACCTCTGCAAAAAGAATGTCATATTAAGTGATTTTACATTGATGTGCAAAGAACAAATTTAGATAAATTCAACTATAATGCATCATATATCCCTGTTCTTTTATCGATTACAACCCCTCCAAATTTTGTATACAATTATGCATGTGGAAGTTTACCCCAAAATGAAGAAGAATTGAAAGAACATGATGTGAGCACTTCAGGAAGAGAAAAGAAAGGAAGTGTCATGTAAATTTGAAAACACGAAAGCTTGATTCAATGGAAGCTAAGAACCTTAAAATCCTTGTCTGACAATTCATGGATTTTGTTTTCAAACATCTTGAAGAATTCATCAACTCTAGCATCAAGATATGAAGGATCCTAGGCGTTCAACATAAGATCAGTTAGAGAGAAATAAACAACTATCATGCCAATCATTCTAGCCTTGAACATGTACCTTTACTGTGGACTGAATAACAATCTCGAGTGCCCTGACTCCCCTATCAGATCTGGTAAACAAGGATATTCATTGTAAGCTAGGATTTAAATGGTCAATATCTCCTCAAAAGGCAAAGTAAGAAGCAGCAAGTCTAAGACAAAACATCTGCTACGTACCTTACATAAAGATCTGCTATATAGCCAAGCTGCTCAATAGTTCGTAGCTGGTTGGCGGCAGGCTGCCTCGCAATTAAAGCGAACAGTTGAAGTTTGATATTTGAAAGAGCATCATCCAGATGAACCTGAATATAAATATCAAACTATGATTGGCATCCTCACATGCTTCTTTCTACATATCATCATGTTTTCTACTTTTCAAACTTCAAATTCGTGAGACATCACACTAGTAAAATAATAGCCCTCATTTCAAGTTAAAATTTTCCGCTCAAAAAGATATTGAAAATTAGGCCCCAAAAATGAGCTATAAACTTTATACATCTTAAACTTGATCAAAATTCTCGCATTGTCACTCTTTTTTCACGTCAAATGTTGTTGAGTAGCTAGAACATCAGTTGGTGGCTCAAGTATGTCCCCAGTTCTCCAAAAAAGTCAATAGAACATAATCGAACATGTCACTGAAGGAAACTATGCGTTATGTCCCTTGTGCTGGTTCAGTCACAAGCAACCATTTCAATAAGCTATAGTTACTGACGAATTCCTTTTCATTCTTGGCTACATTGTTCAGGAATTTCACATTAAGAAATTATTTTGATCATGTAATTGTACTTCAAATTTTGTTGTGGTTGAATGAGTATTTCATATTACTTTGCATGCCAGTACGATATGTAATAATAATTTTAGCAAATAGAAGTAGGTAAAGCCTCAAGTCCACTGAATTTTAGGAACAAGATCAACAATTTGTAATCAGTTTGGTGAACATTAGTTCAGAAGTTAGCGATCATGGATCAGTAATGTCTTTTGTTAATAGTAGTTGCATCCCTTGCACGAAAGATGAGGCCTCAGGGACATTTACCTGAATATGTTGGACTACTGATGAATTCTCATTCTTCTGATTTAAGCCCTCAATTTGGTGGTAGCACTTTAACTCATTTTCAAGGGTGATAACCCTTCTAATCAGATATTGTGATGGAGACATTGATTTGAACACAGACTTAGGGGTATTGAATATAGTATCTTCAATCTCCTGGACAATAGATGTAGCATCATTTGGTTCAATGTTCCCTAGAAGGAGAAAAGTTAATCGATAAGTACGACTGGAAATTCATCCTGTTACAGTCCTTAGCAAATATAAATACATGATGAATCGACTAACAATAACTTCCACCTAACCTTGAATATAGCATTCCAAAAATGTCTTCGATAGCAAATGTGGTATGAACTTTGCAAGAGAATCTGGTTCAAGCTTAGAAAGAGCTTCAAGTTTCTCAACCCAAGGCCAATTTTGATCCTCCAATATCAAGGAGAGATAGTTTGAAGCTTGATAGTACGGTTGGCTGAACTTGAAATTTTGGTAGTCCTTGACAGCAGTTTCCTGTGATGGTAAGATGAAATAAATCAATGAAAGAAAACGACATTGTCAAAAGATCCTAATTGGTCCGTGGCAGAGCCTGTTATCTACAGACCGAGAACAAAGCTCATTACAAACAAGTTAGACCAAACAAGTACATGTGATCTGACTATTTTTGATAATTTTCTGGCAGGTTCAAAATAATACAGCATGCGGAACTGAAAACAGTAATAAGATTACTAAATTAGGAGTATGAACTGTTATTTGTGATATTTGCTTTCACACGTTTGAAGCTTACAGGATATGGCACAAAATCCTTCATGTTGTTGTAATTAAAACATTATTTCCCCCAATCTTAATGAAACAAAGCTTTGATCGTCTAACAATTACAACTTGATAGATAACAATTGCCTAATAAAAGTAAAATCCAGCGGTCGAAAAAAA